ACAAGCATGTTTCATTCTCATTGGTTAAATTATTCATTTATTCATCTAAATACATCTCCACACATGAATATGGAGAGATGCAAACTTCCCCCCAAGCACCATGGTCTACTTAGCAATGCCTACAATTTCTGTCTGAGCACCTAAAGATAGTAATTTGAACTCAATGTCTAGCCTCTCCAGCTATTTCTTTACCATACACCTCTCTCCTCTGGACTCCAATCCACACTTACTTCACTAGCTAGCTCTTCTACATACAACCATTTGTACATGGAGCTTCACCATCATGTTTCTGTCTAATCCCATTCCCTCCCCCCCAAAAAAAAAAAAATTAAAGAACTGTAAATCCCAACCTTTACACCTGGGATTTGGGAATAGAATGTCTTTGTCATGCTAATGAGGCAGAATTCACTAACTCATTCATTGCCATGAGGTTGGAACCAATCCGAAGCTGGCCTTCCAGAGACTGTAAATTACAAGGGAGGAGACTGCCCATCTTAATGGATGGTTTTGAACCACGGGCCTTTGGGTTGGCAGTGCAACTCCTTATCCACTCCCTCCCTGTGACCAGAGTTCCGCGAGGCTGAATTAGTATAGGGCATATCCTGAATTCATTTCTTTCAAGGTATAAGAGAGACTAAAACGATTAAGCAGAGGAAGATGCAGTAAAATAGATGTTAAGACATGTGAAAATCTCCAAGGAATCAGGAGGCAGAAGCTGAAGAGACAAGGACCTTCCTCCAGAACTGACAGAAAATCTTATCCTAGAACTGGAGCTCTAAACTTAGACTTCTAGACTCCTAAACTATGATCTAAAATGAGATTTCCCCCCCCCTTTGTTAAAGCCACTTACTTGTAGTATTTCTATTATAGCAGCATTAAAACAATAGCCAACCTTGATTTTTTAAAATCTGGTATTTCCCCAATCTTTAGTAACTTATCCACTTCTTTACTAGCCTTTATTGAGTACCTGTTAGACTGCATGCTCTCCTGGTGATATAGAGCTTTACAAGATATGCTGCTAACTTAAAAGGTCAGTGGTTCAAATCCACCAGTGTGCTCCAAAGAAAAAAAGAGGCTTACAGACTCGAAAAACCAAAGTGTGTGTGTGTGTGTGTGTGTTACTCCGAGTCAGAACTGTGTCAGCAGCAGTGGGCATCAGGCTCTACAAGTACAAAGTATGGCCCCGGAGGAGCTTTCTGAGCAAAGAGGCAAGAGGCCAAGAGTTATCTGGGATTATAACAGCGGTTCGAACTAAGTGCTCTGTGGGCACTAGGAAGCATCTCTGAAACCTTCCATGGGTTGAGACCTTTGAGTTGCAGACTGAGTGGGGAAGGAATTTCCCTTTTTAATCCATTCATTTATCAATTTACCAGCTGTAATCACATAATTGAGAAATCAGATTATTAAATGTTAAGCAGTGTAACTAATCTCTCTAGACATAAAGACCAGAAGGACAGTTCCTGTTTACAAACGGCTTATGTGAGGTATATATGCTTGCATCACCACCCTCGCTGGAATCTTTGAGAACACTGCACTTAGAGATACCCTGGCGAGTTCAAATGCAGAAAGTGATTTCTTACTTCTTACACTTGCCTGGCTTTTCCATCTTCCCATCCTTATGAGAACACACATAGACTCTGAGAAGCACTCACACCTGGTATCCTGCTTCCTCTAGGAAGTACTTCTGCCTTTTACCACCTATTGGACCACCTCTGCCATCTTCCTCAAGACCTTTCAGAGTTGCCTATTGCCCATGGAGCAGAATCCAGAGTCACCTACAATCTTGCTTTTGAGTGTTGCAACTAGCCTTTATACAGATGGGAAGAAGGCACGCCGTCAGGGCACAGATAAGGAAGGAGCCCCTATATGAGAAAAAAGTCACCATTTCTCCTCGTGAACCTGGGCTTTCAGCTCCACTTGTACAATTGGCCAGGTACCTTTAGGACCCCATGACTTGCTCTTACAACTTTCATTTTCCCCCCTCACAGCTAGCCTATCTACCTCTCTAGCCAGCTGGCCTACTTTCTGAAACAAACTTGAAACATTCTTCCTCCACCCATTTGTTTATACCTTCTGTTCCTCACCACCCACCTTTCTGATGAGGCTTGCTTTGAATCTCACTGCTCATTGAACTTCTATAGAGTGTATGGCCTGCCCTAGTCATTCATTTGACATTTATGCATTTAAATGGTGTGCCCATGACAGAGTACAGTGAATTGGATTCCCCCTGTTGGACTGTGAGCTTCCAAAGAGTAGGGATCAGATGACCTCTTTACCACGTTAGTCCAGTGGCCTTCAAGAAATCTAAAACATAATGAGCGAGGTTTTCGACAATGCTAACAGTGATTTACAAGAAAGTTTACCAAAGACTTCCAGTAGTTACAGGACTCCAGAGAATGAGGAGTTGGTACGCCTTTTTTGGTTGGAATTCCTAACGCTGGGAAGTTATAGAACTCAGTTTCTTTCCAAATACACTTATTCACATACATTTGTTGCCATCAAATTAGAACCACCTCATAGCTGACCCTCTCTCTGTGGGTTTCTGAAGCTGTAAATTCCAAGTGAGAAGATTGCAGGTCTTGCTAGCTTGGAGCTGCTGGTAAATTTGAATTGCCAGAGAGTCTGTCTCGGGCTTAACAGCCCATCTCTCCACAAACTACAGCACAAATGCGCTCTTCAATCCACTAGTTCTATCAAATCTCAAAAGTGGGATTCATCTCTCAAGAGAAAGCTTTATTCTTAGATTTTCAGGAATCCACAAAACCCAGGCCTTGAATATCACATCTAAAAGCACAGAAATTTACTTCCTGCTGAAGATTCACCACAATCCTCAGGCTCTTGGCTTCCTCTCCACTTCCTTCACCAACTCTAACACTTGCAGGGTTTGTTGTGTTTGGTCCCTCCAACCCCTTTTCTTTCTGGAGTTTTGATAAATAAACTCCAAACGCATTCACTGCCAACCCACAGGTCCACATCCTGAGTAAATGCAGGACAACCAGCAGTCTTTTTTCTTCCTGTCCAGCCACGCCTCCCTCCTGACCCCCTCGCACCGGCTAGCATAAGAGTGACATTTGTACAGTCAAGAATCACATATCAATTACTATGGGTCTTGTTTTCATGGGCCTCCCCTATACCACACAGGAAGCTGTGATCCTTTCGAGGCCTCTACCACACTATTTCTTCTTCAATTTAGGAAAGAGAAATACCAGATTCCCTGTGTCTTCTTAGAACAAAGTATAAACTTGTATTTGGCCCTCAAGCAATGACCGCTTTTAAGCCTTAACTTGCTTTCCTCTTATCTCCTACCCATTTCTGCTCAAGATTAGGCAAGTCATAAATCAAACTGTGCCTCCAGCGTGGACGGAATCAATGTCAGAAACTTTACCCAACCTAATAAACTGGGCGTCCTTTGAGCCATCGCCCAGCTGTGCCCTGGAGCTGTAGCCAGTTCAGAGGCATTCCCATTGCTTTATGCATATCCCATCTTTGAGATATGTCCTGAGACACACTTGTGAATGCCACCTGTGTGTGTACTGTGAGTCAGAACCACCTCAATGGTTCAAAACACCTGTCCACACCCACCCACACACCCCAGCCTGAGTTTTCCAGCCTTGAAGATGTTATAGGGAAAGTCCATCTCAGACTCCAGCTCCCACACACTTTACAGCGTGTCCCTGAAGGTAATCCCTTTTAATTGAAGGTAGTGAGAATACCGATGTGCAGACCAGTCTCTCACCCTGTACAGAAGTCAGTGAGGAGAGAAGATCAGGGCTAAGGGGGGAGCCAGAAGCTGGGCAGAAACAACAGAATTGATTCTTGCTGCTCATGGTAAAGAAATCAGGTTTCCTTTTGAATAGAAGTGGGAATCTCCTGGCATAAAGTTTGCACTTTCCCTTTTCTCCCCGTCAAAAGCCTCCAGATCTTGCTAAGATTAATTTAGGGCTAACTGTCAGGTTTCCCTTTCAAGTGGGAAATCTAGAGAAAACTCAAGTTGTGGAGCAGAGAGTAACGTGGGGGCTGCATGAAGCTTTCCCTTCCACTTGATGATTGCATCTGGCAAAGGTTGGAGGAAGGGGCTCACTCTGGTGGCCCAATGAGTAAGGAGTTGTGCTGCCAACCCAAAAGCAAGCAGTTTGAATCCACCAGTTGTTCCAAGGGGGAGAGATGGGCCCTCTCCTCCCATATGATATACAGCCTCTGAAAATCTACTAAGAGTTGGTTCCAGCTGCATTGAGTGACATAGGAAGGTTGGAACAGTATGAGTCCTCCAAGGCTCCACTCAGCCAGCAGAGGAGCTTGGGCCTCATCTGGGGTGGACTTTCAGATGTGACCTGTACACCCCAATAAGCACAGCTGCAGAGGGCAGAAACATCAAAGCAAGAGTCAAATCCTGTCAGAAATACTGTCATCCCACAAAGTTATGGAAGATGCTGTGACCGACAGAAGAGGGACTCAGAACCAAGGGGACAACGGGACTTTCTGCCTTCAGGCGAAAAAGGCAACCCTATAGGCCCACGTGGGGACAAGTCTCACAAGCCAGGGCTGTTTCTCTTTCAGTCCCATCCTTCAGAGTCAGCAGCTTCTGCTTTCCGGCGGGGTCTGTGCTCACACATGTTTGTCCACTTACAAACCTTGACTGTTTTTAAGGGTTTTGGTTGGGGACTTTTGTTTTATTTTGTTTTCTGGAAACATTTAAGTAACCAACAAAAATACCTGCCTGAACCTCAGAAAGGCCTCTTTCCCTCTACGTCCTTCTGCACACCCTCTGCCTGTCTGGAGGAGTCTCCTACTCAGGACCGGCAGAAATTCCAGGGGTTGGCTAAGCAGTGGTTGGGGCGGCGGACATTGCCTTTTCCCTTGGCATCAGCGATGGGTCAGGGGTCCCTCCTCTGAGCCAGGGCAGCAGCCTAGGGCACGAGCGCCCTGGCTCCCACTCCTTGCGCTCCCCAGGCCCCACGCCCCCGAGACGCGCACCCTGCGCCCCAGCCAGGGTCCTTTACCTCCATGTCCTCCAGGTGCCGGCTCCGCGGCGAACGCGCCGCTCGCTCGTGCGCTCGGTGCCTGCTGTCGGCTCCTCGCGCCCCGGCGGCGCTCGGGCTGCACGGGCTGCACCGGCTGAGCGGCTGGTGGGTGGCGGCGCGGCGAGCCCGGCTCCACTCGGCTGCGGACTGCCCGGCGCAGGGGCCCAGCTCCGAGAACGAGGAAGGAGGAGGGAGGGGACAGGAGTGGAGGGAGGAGGGGAGGGAGGCAGGCAATCGAGGTTTAAATTTAGACACAAATCTAAACAGATACTGTCCCTCCCAGGGCAGGACTCAAGAGAGGGAGCCGCGACTCCATTAATCTGCCCAAACATGGGATGGGACAGCCACTCGCCCCTCTTTCTCGCTAAGTTTCACCAGGACCCTGGTCTTTGCCCCGGTTTCCGTTCTCCTTAATCTCTTCCTCATTTAAATATGACTTCTTTCTTTCTACTGCCCTCAAAGTTAGAGCTATTCCTTCATTCTTAACTTTCCTTCCTTTCTTTCATTTGCATCCTTCACTGATTTCCTCCCCTCCTCCATCCTCTTTCTAAAAAAATTAAAGTCTACAGAAGAGAAACCGTTTAAATGGAGGCTTCCACACCCAGGGTGCAACTTCAGAACCAGTGTTCCCATTTACAACTCTTTCCTGCTGCCCTTTCCAGTCTCATATTTGCAGGAAACCAAACGGAATCCATTGACCTCCATCATTCTGGCTTGTGACTGTAGACTTTCTGACGCAGAGGGACCCTCCACAGAATTTCCGAGGCTGGAAACCTTCACAGGATAAAAGTGCTCATTTTTCTCCCACAGAGTGGGTGGTGGATTCGAAAGGCCAGCCTTCAGATTAACAGCATAATACATAACATACTAAAGCCCCAGAACTCTTTTTTTCTGGAAACCACAATCTGTCAGTCCATCATCTATGTCTGTCCATGTTTCACCTTCTGGGGAAAAAAGATCAACTTCAAGCAAAGCTTTTGGAGCTCCCTGGAGCAGTAAATCTCTTCTTCTCCCCTGACTTGATTGATGCATTTGATTTTATGAGCATTTCAGCTCTCACAAGCTCCTTACTAGAATGCCTCTTTTCTGTTCCTTTTAAATATAGTAAAGGGCAAGGTCCTGAACATCCGATTCCCATAAAGCTCAGTATAGCAGTCCTCCCCCAGAGCAGGCCCAGCCCTCTGGGAAGTAGAGAGGCTGAAGAAGAGGAGGCTTGGAGCAGACTGTGGGACTGAAATCTCAACTGCCTTCCTTCCTTCCTTCCAGCATTAGTCCTCGCTGCCCTTTGGTGCCCCTTCTGGGTCCCTGCCCACCTAGGGCAATGAGAAGCGATGACTTCTGAGCTTTGTGAGGGGGACAGAGAGGGCTGGCTAGGGTGCCTCTGGGTTGTTCAGCAACATTTACCTGCAACCCCCAGTCCCCAACCCCTGTCCCACATTCTACCAGGGAAAAGGAGAGCTGCTGCCAGCGTAGGTTGGAATGGGCAATGGTGAGAACTTCAAAAGGAGATGTATGGAGAAACTCAAGCCAACTCATTACCGAGAACCAACTCAGAGCTGAGTCTCCACAGGATTTCTGAGGCTGTAAATCACGCAGGAAGATATTGCTCACTTTTCCTCCGAGGACTCTCTGGTAGATTCAAATCACTTTCTGCCTTTGGATTAACAGTGCTACTCCCTGTGGACTATGTCACCAGAGTTCCATCTTGAAATTAGTCAAAGGACATAAAGCTCAGTTTGCTTATATTAAGAAAAACTTGGCTGATTCTGACTGTGCATCACCAGCAGCCATCCAGTTACTTCAACTGCTGCTCTAATATTGGAACCTTCTGAGTAGCCCTGGTGATGCAGTAGTTAAAGTGCTGGGCTGCTCACCTAAAGATTATCAAACTCACCAATCTGCTTCCATAGAGATAGGATCCTCTAGGGCAGTTCTACTCAGTCTTATAGAGTTGCTATGAATCAGCTTGATGGCATGGGGGGTAAGGTGGTGGGGTATTGGTACAGAACCTTCTAAGGCCCAAATTTCTAAAAATAATCCCAATGCCAGTGTAGTTGCTAGCTCCTTTAACTTAGCTGAGAATGGGTTATTGTGACTTCAACATTAGGTCAAAGGTTGCGTTCTGGCTCTGGTACTCTTTAGCTGTGTTTCTTTAGATAAGACGGTTAACCTCTCTGATCCTTTTTATCCTCATCTGTAAAGTGAAGTACAGAGCTCTGGTGGCCTAGAATATGGGGAGTTGCACTGCTAAACTAAAGGTGCCCCCTCTCTGGTGGTTCGAATCCAATAGCAGTTCAGCAGGAGAAAGATGGGATGATCCCCTGTATAAGACAGTTCTGATTCAGTGGCAATGAATAAATAAAGTGAAGCAGGCAGTCTGCATAAAGTAGCTGTTTTAGGCTCATATGTTGTTGTTGTTGTTATGTGCCGTCGAGTCATTTGTGACTCATAGCAACCCTATGTACAACAGCCCTAAACCCTGCTCTATCCTGTGCCAATCCCATTGCCTCTGACACACCCATCCCGAGTACCCCAGTCACTGAATCAATCCACCTCATAGAGGGTCTTCCCCTCCTGCGCTGTCCCTCCACCCTCCCAAGCATGATGTCCCTCTCCAAAGACCTGTCTCTCCTTACAACATGTCCAAAGTATGTCAGATGAAGCCCCAGAATCCTTGCCTCCAAGGAGCAGCCTGGTTTAACCCTCTCCAGGATGAATCTGTTTGTTTTCTTGGCAGTCCATGGTATACTCAATACTCTTCTCCAGCACCACAGCTCAAAGGCATCACTTCTCCTTCTATCCTCCTTGGTCATTGTCCAGTTCTCTGATGCATAACAAGTGATTGCAAAGACCATGGCCTGTATCAGGTGCACCTTAGTCTCCAGAGAGACACCGTTGCTCTTGAGGCTCATATATAAGATTTAAATGACTTAAAAACTCATTACTATGAAGTTGGAACTGATTCAGAGCTGATTCTTCCACAGGTTTTCTGAGGCTGTAAATTGCATGAGAGATTCCACATCTTTCTCCTATGGAGCCTGTTACTTCTTGTTTAGAGCCTAGCAGTCTGGGGCCTAGTGAAGAGACTCCACCCCCAAGAATTAATGGCATTCCCATTCCAACCACAGAGCCACAAAGGTGAGAATACTAAGCCAAAGTTGAGAGCCAAAACGGTATTTCCTGGTCTCCTGCAGTTCATACTTTTGATTTCTTCTTTTTTTTAAGGTATGGAACTGAGCTGGTTATGAAAGCACTATTAGTATGTATATAACCCAGGAAGCTGCACCATGAATCTTCCTTTCTCCCTCTACCCAGCCCTGCTCTTTGCTCAGAATGGAGTTGTGCCAGCACAGGTTTCTGGCTTCACAAACAGAAGGGTGGACGTGTCTACCCAGAGGAAACCGTTAGACCCAGATAGCATCAGTCACTCAAGGTAACTTGCAGCTGCCTGCCACACCCTACCCAGGCCTGCCCCTTGACTGAGGACACATGACCTACAAAGCAAACAGGCCCTGTCTCCACCATGTTGCTGGGTCCTAGGCTGCTGTCTGTTGAAATTCACACTAGACTCAAGAAGTGCGGAGTCAGGAGCTGTCCCAGGGTTCTTTGGGCTCCAGGCCCAAAAGGAAGGGGTAGGAAATGGGGAGGAAGGAGCACAAGGGAGGAGGGACAGTTCAGTGCTTGATTTCAGTACTGTGGGATGTGAGCTCCCCATATCTCCCCACTCACCCTTATTAGAAGTCAGAATGGTGGCTGCCCAGTGGGTAAAGGCCCCTATTTTCTGGATTACTGGCTAACTCCATTAGCTAAGAGGAACTGACAGCCCAAGAGGAAAGGAAAGTAGTTTTTTGAGGAGTTGGCTCCCCTCCCTTTCTGTGAGGGGCTGACTGACCCACAAGAATCCACTTCCTTTACTTCCTTCTGTGCCTTCCTTTTGCTTCCCCTGGTAGTTGGAACCACCAAGCAATAAATAGAGGCCAGCACAAAGTAAAGAATGAGGAACACCAGAGAAGCAGCCTGGGCCACAGAGGATTCTGTGGAGAAGGCTGTGTTACCACAGGTTACCACAGAGGAGCCAAGTTACCTCAGGCATATAACAGATGGTCAATAAATATCTGGTGGATGAGTTGGTAGGTGAATGAATGGATAGATGACTATTTTTATGAAACAAATTAGTCAGATCTCCTCTCTAAATCAAAAGCAAAGCATTTTAAATTTATACATGAACAGAACTCCAGAGGTAGAAAATACATAGTGGGAGAAAAGTCCACAAAGGCCACAGCACACTAAACAGCTAGTTTTCAAGCAAGTGCAGAGGTAAGCACCTTTTAGCAAGTGGCCACACTGTGCTGCTGATCACCTGCTTTTAAAATTAAGAGCAAAAAGAAAACATTCTTTCATGGCTATAAGTAGTAATTTAAAAGTATGTATAAACAGCCCTAACTTTTGGAATGTGGCAGAAAAAGAAAATGAAATAATAATTTAAAAAAAGATTTATTCTGCCACAAGTGGCAGTCATTGGAAATAGAGTCAAGGACCCTGTGCAATTTCATGTTTAACAAACAGAAACAGAAGGTGCAAAACAACAAGGGCCCTGTAGTGATGGTCATATCTGACATCTACCAACTCCACAAAGGGAAACTGTCCTCCTCAACAACATTCACAACACAACATCAATTCCCATGCAATCAGCCAAATCTCTCACACCCCCACTTCTATTTCCATTAATTCCAATTCAATTTTCCTGCTCTACTGGGTTCAAAATTGATTGCAATAGCTCACAGACAATGCAGAACAATGTTATTGTTGTTGTTGTTATGTGCCATTAGGAAAGTCAAAAGTCTCTAATGCAGGTTGGTAGCAGATACAGTCACTCAGTCAGTACAGCTTCCAAATTCCAAAGTGTGCTCACAGATTTCAGTTTTTAGCTTCGTGGCTTTAGGCCAGTGATACAAAGCCCTTAGCCCTACCAGTTATGAATCTCCCCTAAAGTCTCCAAAAACCATGAGCAAAGGTTCTAAGCTCTGGTTCTGGAAAGTAGCAGTTCAAAGGTTAGCTCTGTCTCATGTCAGGTCTCTAATTCTCTGCTCTGGCTGCTGCCCCCTTTGATAGATCTGGCTGGTGCAAGAATCTCTAGACACAAAGGTGCACTGCGTTCTCTTCTTTTT